CAGGGAGATTCAAATTTGAAGTCAGAGAAACTGAGTTCAAAACTCAGTCTCACTACTCAAGAGTTTTATGACTTTGGGCAAGTTATTTAATCTTTGCCTCAGTCTCTTCATCTCTAAAATCTCTAAAATGGGGCTAACAATATTAACTAAGCTCACAGATCGATGTGACACCTAAATAAAATTATACCTGTACATGGCATCACAGTGCTCAAATATACAAAATTTTAAGAACAAACTTTTTGAAAAAATTGCTGTTTAATTTAAACCATCCTGAATAGAAATCTCAATACTCCAGTTAACTTTTGTTTCTTCTTAAGGCAAATAATCACAATTTAACTTTTTCTGTACTGTATAGGACCATAATTACAAATATACATTATAAGATTATGTGTGACTATAAATACAAAATGGTTTCTACACACTATCAAGCAATCAGTCTCTTAACAGACACACCTTAAGCGAAGATAGCCCCTGACGACATTTAAAGACAATACAGATGCTGTCTCTGTGCTAATTATTTCCAAATTGTTACAGTTAAATTTTTTTAAATTGTAGCCATTTTTCTATGTCTTTATTCATAGTCAGAGATAACTTGTTGTATTTGCCTCTTGCAAGCCCCTTTCTCATTTTCTTAATGTGCTGATGCTAAGCTACTGTGAGCTAAGAAACCAGATAACCATTTCAAGGCAGACTGATACGGTGAACAAAATATGGGCTGCAGATTCAGACAGCTCTGGGTTTAAAACCCAGTTATGATACTCTGTGACCTTGTTAAGTTACTTAACTTCTCTAAACTTCAATTTCCTCATCCTTAAAATGAGAGTACTATTACCTATACTGAAGCGCTGTGGTAAAAAGCAAATGAAAACTTACGTAAAAATCTTGCAGAATGCTTTCTAGTACCTGGCAATATAAGTCATCCTGTCAATGGTAATTATTATTATATAACTAATAAAGTAGCTGAAATGTAGCTAAGCTAAGAATGAAAAAGAATTTCTTACTTGGAACACATGCTTTTAATGTGTGAAATTCCTTGGCACCATACTAGAGATACAAAGATGAAAAAGAATATAGTACCTACCCTCCAGAGACCCAGAGCCTAATCACAGACATGTCAACCAAATCACAGCAACTAGATAAGTGAAACAGTAAAAGAAGTAGCACTCTGTCTGAAGTCAAAATAGTTTTCTGGAAGAAGTGATATCTAAACTAAGAAGATAAATAGAAGCTCACCAGGTCAAGGGTTAGGATGGAGGTGGGCAGACTTGGTCAAGTAGGATGAAAGAGTACATGTAAACATATACAAGTCAGAAACAGCATGGCACAGGCTGGAGCAGAGCATGTATAGAGAGGGGAGTTCAGAAAGGCAGGCACAGGCCAGATCGTAACGGCCTGGGATACCAAACCAAGGAGGAGTTGGCCCTTTTAAAAATAAGTAATAGGGAATCACAAAAGTATTTTAAGGGCAGCAAAGGAGGCTGGGTGAAAAAAGATAACGCTCAGATTCACATTACAGAGAAATCCCTCCAGCTAAGTTGTGCAAGTTGACCAGGAAGGAGGGGAAAACCACAGTCAAGGAAAACACAGTCCAGGAGGCAAAGCAGCAGCAAGTAACCTAAAGCAGCAGCGATAAGAATGAAGAGTAAGGAATGGGTGAGAGAGACTAAGAAAGGGGTCTTAACAACACTCAGAAATTCAGGAAAATTCCCCAATTTCTAGTTTGGGCAAATGGTTAGGTCAAGACGTCATTACACAAAATGGAAACAACAAAAACAGTTTTTGAGAAGAAAATGTGAGTTCCATTTGGAATTTATCTGAAGAGAACTATCCATTAGGGAGTCCGGAGCTCACGTAAGGGCTGAATTAACGCCTTTGGGAGAAATTAACATAAAGGCAGAAATGGAAAACAAACACAAAAATAAGGTCACTAGAGGAAGGATATAGGTCAAAAACGAGCCGATGAATATCTACTGTCACTGCTCATGAATATTATACTTTCTAGCTTTCACTTGTTTTCCAAACGGACAAACAGAATTTTATGTAAGCGAGATGTTACTTATAATATATAGATGCTGAAGTTTCCTGAGCATTGTGTCCAACTTCTTCACTATCATGACTGGCTTGGAACCTGAAAGGTGCCCAATAAAAATGAATGAATTAACTAAACATGGTCTTTAGGTCTGTCAAGAGGCCAAACTGATGTTTTAGTATTATAGATAAATATTTAATATGGAAATAATCTAAATTTTTCTTTATATGCTGCTTTTTTACATTTAGAAACATACAATTTTCAATGGTTTGGGAACTCTAAACTGATTTTTTGGAGTTCAAGAACTCACCCCAAACCAACAATTTATGCTTATCCATATTTCAGATTTCTGAACAGAAGTCAGAGACAGGTAGAAAAGTACTATTATGGATTATTATGGGTTTTTACAAAATATTAATTTAAAAAAGGGAAAACACTAAAATGTTTCACCTACAGGTCCATTCTTCTATGTTAACAATGCGGGAGATCTTCACAGGAGTACTGAGGAGAGTATTTTAAAGTCTCTCACCCCTTAGAAGGAAAATTAGACAAGTCCCAATGTTTCTTTATGTATTTTCTTTCTACACAGTTACTCAGATAAATACATACTACATAAACTTAGAAAATAATGAGCGTTCATAAACTGGTGGATGAAAAGGTGAGTCAATGAATAAGCAGGAAAGATGGCTGCTGAGCAGAAGAAACGACAAGGACTCGAGAGTATGAACAGGCACAATAAGGGAGTTCAGTCAATAAAAACTGGAGTGCTAGTTTTTGATCGTTTTCATTTTTGTTATTTTTCATTAACAAAGCAAAGATACTTGAAGAAATTCAAGTTAATAAAAACTAAGAAAGAAAAAAGCTCAATGGTCTGTTCATAGGATTACATTACAGTCAAACCGTTTTGGATAAACTAGTTCTTAATACTTCCTTTTACTTTTCTTTGAATGTTTCTCCTCCCTCTCACACCCATCTTTTTGGTTAATGAGAGAAAGCAGTATGGTAGTAATAGAGAAAACACAAAATCAAACTGAACATAATGATCTAATTTAAAAACTAAATGAAAATAAATTAATCCAACATTATTGGCACATATCTTTACATAAATGTTTTTGTGTGAATGAGAACTCTGTACATAATTTATCTGCCTGAATGTGGACCTTGGGAACGTCCTACCAGAAATCTTGGTACCATATGCTTTCATAATTACATTTTAACTGTGAGAGACTCCAGTGGAGTAGTTAAAAGTCTAAGTTCTGGCTCTGTCATTTGTTATCTCTATAACTTTGGGTTTTTTTCCTTAAGTACCCTGCCTCTCAGTAATCTTATCTGTAAAATGGGACTAACAAAAGGACTTATTTTACAAGATTCACAAAGATGATATAAAATAATGTATCAGGAAGACACTATATAAATTGTGTTATTTTTGTGGCTGTAAGCTCAGTACTTACCAACTTTTCATATTTCAAGTACATCAAATAGCCTAGGTTCCTCCATAACAGAAAAACAAAGGCCCACTCGCTTCCAGAGTTCTGCAATGTCCCATCACTGAAAGTGTACCATGGACTGAAATGTTTCAAGTAATTTCCTCCCTTTAATCTTATACTGAAACATTCAATAAGTCAGGCTTCAGACCGCCACTAGCTGAGAAGGCAGTGAACAGCGTCCTAAAGATCCATTGCAAATAACAACTTAGCAGATAACGTGCATGCAAAAAGTCAAAATTGTAATGGTATTAAACACAGTAAGAACTATCAGCCGCTTGCCTTGCACAATCCTGCAAGTTTTAAGAAGTTCTGCTTCTGCTTACTTGCTTCCTAACACAGATCTCTGAAGCAAAAACAGAGCACCATACCAGTGGTCATATTCTTTGCAGAACCAAAACCTAGATTGGGTTCTCACACTTTTAGAAGATGAACAAGATGCCCTCCATGGTTATGTCCTTAAAGTTACACTTTTTAGAAGCAAGATGCCTTCCATGATTATGTCATAAGTTATACTTTTGGAAGATTTCTTTTTAGATTATGATCATATTAAAATCAGATGTTCTCTCATAATTAAGTTCTCTCATAATTACAAAAGGCACAGTGTCAGGGTCCAAAGGCAGGCCAGCTTGGAATTTTAAGTTTACCACTCTACCACAATGTGGGTTCAGTTTCACATTCTGGATTTAGGTTATAGACTAGCTTTCTTCATCATGATTTTACCCCCAAATATACTGTGACTAAACTGCATTACTATTCATTACACACGCAGCATTTCAGATGTCATCAAGGATAAAGATGGAGTAACTGAGGTTAAAACATGGTTGTCTGAAAACCACTCAGTTATCTTAAACACTCTCAGATGCTAAGTGACAATCTTACCACTTGAAGCAAACACGTATTTGTTAAAACAGGGGAGAGGAAGGCCACACCCAAAGTTAAGACTTCACAGTGGAGTGATACCAAGTGTGAGAATTTTAACTATTGCTATTTTGGGTACTCTTTTTCACGGTCAATGAACACTCTGAACTCATAACAGGCCCCAAGTTAAATAAAACGTTCCTCTGATTCTAATCACTTAGGTTACTTCCTTCAATAATGGGCAGGTCCAAGATGGAGAATTATCTCATTCAAAGAAAGATTTAAAGAACTCTAGCGTAGAAGAGGGCCAGACTCAAAGAATGAGTGTTCAAAAGGGCCGCGAAAAGAGCGGCTTACCACTCCTCCCTTTCCCCCCAGGGGTCAGGGCGGCCAGAGGAGCCTGACTGTATCACCACGGCAGTTACCCGACACAGGACCTGGTTATCAGCACCCTTCTTTCAGTTTAGACGCTGCCTGAGTCCCCTCTCTCCGCGTACCACCTCCATCCCGGATGTCTCTCCGCCCCCGACCCCCACCCCCACCCCTGCCAGCACAGCGCCCATCAGCCTCCTCAGCCTCATCTCCATCCCACCTCCGTGCTCTCCCACTCCACTCATCCCGCTTACCTTGGCCACATAGTCTTTCACCTCATCCAAGTCTCCGTTTTTCAGGGCCCACATGAACTCCTTGTCGCACATCACTGCAGCAGGGCGGGCCAGTTGGCCGGGCAGAAGACGAGGAGGCGGTGGCAGCGGCAAGCGGATGCCGCCGGGCGAGAGAGAGACAGGGCCGCGCGGAGCCGGGGAGGAGAAGAAGGGAAGGCGGGGTAGGCTGCCAGGCGGGCGAGGCAGTTGGCCGCAGCGACCGTTAGGGCGGGAGAAAGAAAGTTCTTTTGCGGCCACCAGGCCCAGCAGAACAGGTTCCGCCTGGGCGAACAGCAGCAGGAGCGCTTACACTTCCGGTTCACTCCCCGCTAGGACCCTCCCCCAACTTCCTCTTCCTCTTCCCCCGGCGGAACGCCCCTCTCCGGACCCCGCCCCGACGGCCCCGCGGCGGAGCGCCCGCGTGCGCAGGCGCAGTGGCTAGGCTGGTTTGCTAACGGGTGGAGCGGGAGGAGAGAGCTGGGCCAGGAGGCCAGGGAAGGCGGTCGAAGGTCGGGAAGGGCAGACAGCAAGTGGAGAGATACAGTGTTGTAGAGGGGATCGGGACGTTTCTGCGCACCATAAATGGGAAAAACTTTTTTTAAACACAACCTTGGAGGGCGTCTTGCTCACCTTCCAAAAGTGTCCAGTAGGAGTGTTTGATTTGAATTCCTTCCCTTCTTTATTTTCTTTCCCTCCTGTCTCCTATCTTCCCTCCCTCTCTCCTCTTCCTCCCTTCCTCCGCTATGAAGCATCTCTTGGGCTCCTATTACGTGCCAGCCTCTGCTGGGCCTCAAGGATATAGTAAGACAGATGGAATAAAACAATTCCTGTCCTCAAGGAATTCTTGAGTACTCAAGACAACAGTGTGAATTCAGTGGGTCTATACAATGTATAATGTTCTCTGGAGGGAAAAACTTTAGTGTGTGCTGGGGAAGAAATTTTCCTCATCTCTGTGACAAGCAAATGATATCCAGGAATAGGAATTCTGTTTAATGCCATAGGGCAGAGCAAACCTAACTGTCCAGTACAATTTGTTTTTAAAATTTTGTGTTCATTTCGTTCTAATGATTTGAAGCTTCAGCACTGTTCTAGTGAAGTCAGTTGTACTCTTCAAAGAGTTTGGGGCATAGCCACCAGAAGAATTGTGCCTCGACCTTAATGATCCAGACATGCACACATGAACATAGAGAGATCCAGTAAAAACTCTTTACTGAAACTGTTATATGTATATATAAAGTCTGTTGTTTATGAGCCACTAAACGAACCAAGCTACTTTACTATGCTTGCCATATAGTATATAGAGGCTGAGAACACAGACTCTGGAACCAGATTGCTTAGTTTTGAATACAAGACCCAATGCTTACTGATTTTGTGCCACCTCTGGCAAGTTAGTTAACCCATCTCTGTTTAGTTTTCCACATGTGTTAAACGGGGCTAACGATAGAGTTCAATAAATGTAAATTTTTTGTTATCATTTAGAAATAGCAAATAGAGATTTTAAATCAAAAGAAAAATCTCCAAATATCGAACGACTACCTTGATTGATATTCTCTTGATTCTGCTTTCTGACAAATAGAAATATAAATGGTGATATGTTTCCGGAAACAAATCTCAAGGAGGAATTTGTTAGGCAAATCCTGGAGTCCCTATCTCTTCTCTAACTCACACTCTCACCTGTGTGATCTTTGAGTGAAATAATACTCACAGCTCTTGATTTATATATCTAGCCCAGACTTCTCCTTTGTGATCTCGTCTTATATTTAACTTCTTACCCATTTGAATGTCTCAAACTTAGCGTGCCCAAAATAGGATTTGGTCTCCTCTAGATTCTAAACCTAATTGTTCCCTAGACTTCCCCATCTCTGTGAATGACACGAGTAACCACCGTATCACTAAAACCAAAAACATGGTGACGAAGATGCTCTCGTTCACCAAACTCAAACCAGGCTCCTCTGAGCCCTCTTCTCAATTAGGCCTCAAACCTTGGTCTATAAAGACTTGAACAAACACTAACATGGTTCCTAACTGCTCAAGGCCACATTCCTAAAATGACCCTAGTCCTCCTTAAAGTGCCAGCTTGAGAAAACTCAAAGCTGCCCAAATTTTGTTTAGTGTTTGTTCCAGCCAACGCCTGAGGATAGGGCCTCTGTCTTCCAGTCTCTATAGGAGGGTAGAATCCTAACTTGGATAATTGCCAGCTAGCAGACATAGCTGGCCCCATCACTTCCACTGCCTAACCTCCTCTATTTGTCACTTCTCTGACTTTGCTGAGCCCTACCTGCCCCCCTCCCTACTCCCTCATTCTCTCTTTAAAACACTCATTCACCTCTGTACAAATTGAAGTTGAGTTCAGTTCACACTAGGCTCTTTTCCCTATTGTGATAGTTATTACTGAAAAAAATCTGTCCTTCCCACTTTACTAGTGTCTGGCTTTGTTTATCTTTGAAAATGGGAGTTGTAAATAACTCCTGCCTTTCCCAGTCTTTCCTTGTTATTCAATCCATTAGTAAATCCTTCAAAACATATCTTAAATTGTTCACTTCTTGCTATCTTCACTACTGACTATCACCCCTAGACACCCCTTCTCCGCCACTGTCATTTCAGTCTGCACCGCTACAGTAGTCTCCCAGCTGGTCTACCCATTTTCACTCCTACCCTTTTCCAAGTAATTTCCCACATAACCAGAATTACCTTTTTAAAACATAAATCAAACATGCACTTTTGTCCTAAGACCTTTCAATGGCTTCCTATTGCATTTGGGATAAAATCCTAATTACTTGTGATGGCCTTCAGGGCCCTCTCTGATATGACCCTGATGGTCCCTCCTGTCTCATTGCTTCCTTGGTTCCCACAGATCTCATCTCTCAGGTTCAGTAAAAACCAAGCTCATTCCAGCCTCGGGCCATTATGCTTGTTGTTTCCTGTCTGGAATGTTCTACTCATTCTTGCTCACTTCTTGTGCCTGTTGAGGTCTCAGTGCAAATGTTACCTCTTCAAGCCTCCCAGACCACCCACTTTAAATAGGTCCCTCAGTTCCTTTTACCATATAACCCAGCTTTTTCCGCCTTCACATCACTTATCACGAATATTTTCATTATTTTTTTGTCTATTTTGGTAGGTATTTATGGTGTTCAACAAATTATTTCCTTTTGTCTGCCATCCTGGACACAAGAGAGGATTACTCTTCCTGGCTTCCTTGTAGTTGAGTAATGTCATGTAACTAATTTTGGCCTATTAGTTGTGAGCAGCAGTAATATGAGTCACTTCCAGACTTGCCAATTCAAGACCCTTCAGAGCTCTTTTTCCCTCTGTTACAGCAACCAGCAACATGTGAGACAGCGGCGACACAGTCAGGCTGGGTTCCTGAGTGACCACAATGCGCAGAGCTCCCCTGCCGTCCCATGATGGACATGTAGTATGGAGGAAAATTAAACTCTTATCGTTTCAAGCTACTGAGATTTTGGTGTTTATTACTGCAGCAACACTGAGCCAATCTTCTGACTAATAGAGAAATTATTGTCAGAAGGGAGGTGTTAGTGGAAGAAAAACCTTATATAGATGGCATTGGCTTAGGGGCTAGGTGGTACATAACAAGGGAAGTGATAGTAGAAGCTATGAGGATAGTGACTCATAGTCAAAGGAGTGAAATATTTGGCAAAGCAATCTCTTGTGATAGCATGGTGATGCGTGGAAGGCACATAATGTACCCTGTAAACTTGTAGCTCTAGGAGAAGAGGCTGGAAAATGGAAAGCTGGTGGCTCGTGTTGGTAACCTTTTTGTGTGGGGGACATGTTTTTATTTCTTTTTCTCCAGCTTTATATAATTGACGTATAACATTGTGTAAGTTCAAAGTGTACCATGTGTTTATTTCTTATATGCACATATTGTGAAATGATTACCTCAGTATGGTTAGTGAACATAGTCATCACCTCACGTAGTCACCTTTTTGTGTGTGTGTGGTAAGAACTTTTAAGATTTATTCTCTTAGCAACTTTCAAATATATGATACAGTATTGTTAAATGTAGTCACCTTGCTGTACATTAGATCCACGTAATTTATTCGTCTTATAACTGGAATTTTGTACCTTTGACCACCTTCACCCACTCCCCTACTGGCAACCACAAACCTACTCTCTATATCTATTCAGTTTTTTTAGATTCCTCGTGTAAGTGAGATCACACGGTACTTGTCTTTCTTTGTCTGACTTATTTCACTTCACATAACATCCTCAAGGTTCATACCTGTTGGCGCAAATGGCAGGAATTCCTTCTTTTTGAGGGCTGAATAATATTCCATTGTATATGTATAAATGTATATGTGTATACACACACACACACACATTTTCTTTATCCATTCATCTGTCAATGGACACTTAGGTTGTTTCCTGTCTTGGCTATTGTAAATAATGCTGCAATGAACATGGTTGTAGAGAAATCTCTTCAATATCCTGTTTTCATTTTCTTTGGATATATACTCAGAAGTGAAATTGCTGGATCATATGGTAGTTCTATTTTTAATTTTTGAGGAAGCTCCATACTGTTTTCCGTAGTGGCCGCACCAATTTACATTCCTACAAACAGTGTGCAAGGGTTCCCTTTTCTCCACATCCTCACCAACACTTATCTCTTTTTGATGATAGCCATTCTAACAGGTGTGAATGATATCTCATTGTGGTTTTGATTTGTGCTTCTCTGATGATTAGTAACTTTGAGTATCTTTTCATATACCTTTTGGCCATTTGTGTGTGTTCTTTGGAAAAATGTCAGTACAGAGCCTCTGGCCATTTTTTAGTTGGATTATTTGGAGTTTTTTACTAATAAGTTATATGAGTTACTTAAACATTTTGAATATTACCCCTTATCATATATACGATTTGCAAATATTTTCTTCCATTCCATAGATTGTCTTTTCATTTTGTTGATTGTTTCTTTTGCTGTGCAGAGCCTTTTTAGTTTATTGTAGTCCCACTTGTTGATTTTTGCTTTTGTTGCTGTGCTGAGAAGCCAGACATGGTATATTGAATTAAGAATATACAGATTATGACCTGGCTGAATGCAGAGGTACAAACTACAAAGGTAGGGGTGGCAGGTAGCTCCCTCAGCATCTGAGGTCCCACTTTGGGGAAGTGAAACCCATGAAGTCGTTTTGATTGAAGACACAGTTTCAGGGGACCCATGCAAAGGAAGTAGAGTCACAAGATTTGTTACTTACAGATCCCAGAAGCAAAAGGGTGCAATGAGCCAGGGGAAGGGTGGTCCTCTGTCTCGGGTCATAAGCGAGCAGGAGATAAGAAAGCAAGGTAGCAATCACCTATTACTTATAAGGCAGTTGGGGCA